GAACTTATCGAGCCCAATAAACTTCAAGGTAAAATTCAATTGAAAAGCCTTATTTAATTTAATTTATGATGAGTGTTCTCGTTCCGTGTTTCTGGATATTTCATTTCGTTTTTATTTCGTACTATTCACTTATTGTTCTCTGTTTTTTCTTCTTTTTTATTTCTCTGCTACGCCGGGATGTAACCGTGTCCCTTCAGGACGTATGAATTATGACCCTTTCCAGACTTCCCATAAATAATATGTACACAGGTTCAAAAAATATCATTGCCTTCAAATAGCATCGGTATTACTATAGATCTCATTTATTTAGTGAGCTATTGTTGCAGGTAATTGTTCCCTGAGACTGGGTATCTCTCCATAATATTTTCATTTTAAGTACTACCAGAAGACAAAGACACAAATTGAAAGGAAAACAATGTAGTCCGTTTTGATGGTATATACTATAATTAATATATTACACTTAATATTTACACTGGCTATCAGTAATTGAATTAGTATTACATCTATTATACTACTCTTACTATTAAGTTACCACCACACACTGACAGATTAGATCAGTTAAAAGGAAGATCAGTTAAATATAGGGATCTCGGACGCCTGGACACAGTCCAAATCAAAAAATTATAGAAAAAAAAATGCCAGTTGCGCAAGAATGTGCAAATTATAAGGAAGCGACCACATCTATTTTCAGTAGCACTCTGTTTAAAGACAGAAAGACATTTGAAAGGACAGGTACTACACTTTTATCCGAGGCCGATGACTAGAGAGTGATGTATAATGTTTAACGCGTAACACTGGCTGCTCGGTCAATGAATGCCAAATGTTTTTTTGAAAGAAATATTACCATTAATGTATTTCCATATGCACCATTAACTTTCTCAACAAATCCAAATAAAATATTCTGATTCAATTTCTATCCAGAAGGAACATATTTCATACCAGATCTCGTTTACATCAAATGAAGGCATAAAACCGGATGCACTTTCTTGAGTTTTCATTGAAATTGGTCATATGCATTTGACCCTTGATTGGCTTCCGGACCGTGATGTAGCCTCAAATCTCACCCGCAGTTGCGACCTTTAAGATTTGCAGAATCATTTTGAGCCCATTTCCACTTATCTTGCGATATAAAAAACATCTTTAAAAAGGTCTGAGCAAACATAACCCGAATTATGCCAAAATACTTTCCAAATGTTTCTCTTACCTGGCATAAAATCGGCCATTAGCCATTCGCTGCCAAAAACAAAAAAATTCATTGATTTCTAAAATGATTTTCGCGATGTTCGGCTATTTGAGGCAGGCCAGAATCGGGGTATCACATTTGGAAGTGAATATTTTTCCATTTTGAAACCCGAAAACAGTCATAAACTTTCTTTTTTTACCTCTTTCTTAACAGCTTCTCGAAGAATTACAACAGTTTTTGCATCAGCGACCCTAAAAAGAAAAGACATCTTAACGCATTCGGACTGTTTTTTATTCATTTTTTTTTTTTTCATTTTTGAGCCATCGTAAAAATCTCCAAACATACTTAACGAAAACAATAAATCACAGGAAAAGAAAAAAATAGTACCAGAACGATTGCTTATAACATTAAGATGTTATCTCTTCAGAAAAAAACTGTTCCATATTCTTAATAAATCTTAAGTGTTCAGCGTACATATTGTGCAGTTCTTTATAAATTCGAAAAAATGAAATTAAGTCAAGTTAACCCTTTTTTATTTTATATAATTGTGCTCCAACCAAAGTGACAATGACACTAGAAAGTATAGAGCTACAAGAATTCCTTATGAATGAAAACATTGAAAACGGAGAGGATTAAGAAAAGGACAAAAAAAAGGAACAGGCTTCAAGAAGAAAGAAATATAGCGAATGACTGTATATATTTCTGAGATAAATATTATGTATACTATTTACATTATTCGGACTACTGTCCTCATCTTTGTCGCCATATTCATTACAACGTTTCGGTCGTTGTACGCTCCGGCCTCCTTCAGTTGATTGAATGTCGAACTGAACCATTTATTTCGAAATAAATAGTCCGAATAAATTAAATAGTATGGCGAATGACGTAGTAATTAATTTTTGAAAATTAAAGTTATTAAGAAAGCATGAAATCGGAATTGAGTTCGACGCAAGAGCGAAAAAAAACTCTCAGATTAAAAATGACGATTACATCTAACTAGTCCAACAGTAAAATGATGGGACCTATTTGCCAATCTAGTAGAATGCTTAAATTCATGTAGACAGGGCACCAAGAAAAAAAGCTTGTCCGAGCAGTTACCATGAAAATACTTGTAGAACAGGACGAAGAAATGTCGGTGAGAAAGTGACTGGAGACGAGATGTCTGGTGAGGATCGATTGTATGGCAGACCTTTCTCTGGATTTTGTCAAGAATCTTGAGATGTACAGCCGGAGCACCAGACCAGATATAGCAACAGTATTCAATACACGGACGAAGGGTAGATTTATAAATGTGCAAAATAGATTCTGACGAGAAATGGTTTTATTACAACACAGTGATCGAAAATTCTTGCAGTAAACGTAGCAATTGACTCGATGTAGTGCTCCATTTCAGTGGATTACGTGAGGCCAAGAAGTTGATTTCGTGTTTATGGCCAGGGGATAATAACACGCATAATATTCGATGCATTAATTTTTTACGTGTCTCGCCCGCTTTAAACGTTCCACATGACGTCACATTGAACTATTTTAAAGTTCATCTCTAAAATATACAAGGATGTAAATCAAAGCCTGCCTAATACACTGAGACCACATAGTTCTAGAAAATATCTGAAATTGCCAAAAATATAAGAAACAAAACAGCAGAAAAATATTCAAACTTAATTTCAGTAGGAAAATGTTCTATTGGTAATAAAAAATGTATTTTTATTGTATTTTTTACGTTTTTACGTTTTATATTAAGCATTTAGTTTTCGCTTTCACAAAGTAGTGCCTCTCGGAAAGAAGGCCTCTGAAAAGCTTTTCTTCACTACAAATGGGAGGAAATTATGTTAAAATGAAGGTTATTCAGTCTTGTGGGCATTGAAAAGAGGGCCTTAGATATAAACAATTTGAATAAGTGGCATTGAGAATGAACATGTGTCATTAAAGTAACAATCGGTTTACGCGACGTTGTATTGATGAGAAAGAATAGTAAACTGAAATCAATGTAAAAGGAACTGAATTCTGTCAGGGCTAAAAAATGTGGATCGGAGGCTAGATATGTCAGCAATAATGATTATTTATTTATCTGATCTGATTCTTGCAAAGATAAAATATGGCAGAATATTTTCAGGTCCTTTCTGTTGCAATACAATGTTCCGACCATCTTTAGAGTTGGGTCTTTATAATTGTTCTACTTGTGTTATTGGGTAAATTCGAGACGCAAAGCAAGGAGACTCATTGAAAGTGAAACCGTACATCATGTCTGGATCAAATCCAGCTTTTGCTCGATTGTTTTTTTTTTATTCATTTTACGTTACAATCCAGTCTATTCTCATGCGGTCTGTTAGAGATTAGTCAGTGGAAAGATTATCTACTAGACCCCTCTGTTATCGGAAGTGCCCCCATAAACTGTGTTAATACTTGTATAGATATTACTAAATTCTGACAATGATCCTGTGCATATTGTTAATAAAATGCAGAGAGACGGTTGGACAGATTGTGGGTTATGTTTACGTGAGGCCCACGGAGCTCTCATCTGTGCTTAACCTAATTAATTTAGAGCAGCCTATATCAATGTGTTACAGATGCCTATAGTTAATACCGGATATTTATTGATCGACTGTTCGATTGATTGATTGATTCGTTTACTGCGACTCATGAACCGTTTGAACAGGTTACTTAGATTGTTAGAATTGATATTTTTTAGGGAGCAATGAGGGATAATAATGGTTTAATTGTACAATTCTTACTAATTAACCCACAACTGGGGGAGAAGATATGGATATATACCTTTCAAAGTATTTAAGCGGAAGTGAATATGACGAATTTTACAGCATCTGGTCACCTATCTCAGATACTGAGACAGGATCAACGTTGCTCACCTTCAGTGATCATACTAGAACAGGTGTTTTAACGTGATGTGGCCGCAAATGCGGATTTGTTTTAAAAATACACAATTAGTACCGAAGTTTTAGGACAAATACCAAATTTAGAGGGCGTAGGTAAAGCATATCACTAATCAGTTAGTGTAGAGCAAAATCTCAAACATTTGAACCCATTCATATACTCAATTTATTCTCAACAATGGCAGGATAATGTTCAAAATTCATTTTAGGAGAAATATGGAGATTCCGACAAATGGCGTAGGCTCAATGTTTTCGCCTGACATGATGTAAATCGAGCATTTATAGGACAGGGTATTTGCAATATCAGGGAAATTTTGACAGTTATCAAGACATCTTGGCACAACATCTATTCAGAGATAATCCAATCACTTAAGAATTGGAGATACTAGCTCAAGTAGCCGAGAAAAGGGTGTTTTTTACACATTACAAATTATTTATATTATGCTTTATAGCCCGTCAGTCTATATCAATATCTATGGTCGGCATGATTAGAATCGAATAAAATAATCTTTTACATATGCATACACACACACACACCACACACATATATATATATATATATATATATATATATATATATATATATATATATATATATATATATATATTTTTTTTGTAAAAAGAATTAATCCCAAAATGTTTTGCTAAATTCAGTCGACAAAGTATTCGTATATTTTAATGCATTTTTCCAGTTTTTAAAATAGATTATTTTACAGAATATTAAGAATTCATTGCATCCTTTATTGGCCTCCAGTGTACATCAATATACCTGGAGAATATAAATTTCACTTAAAAGGCTTGGGTTAACACGTGCTATGGTTTTCAGACACTTTTCAAAAGGTGTCCGATAACATCAGGAATCTCCTTCCTGACAAATCGACCATGGTGAGATTCGAACCAGAAAGCGAACGTTCTAACCACTCGGCTACGTCCCCATTATAGATTATAGATAGATAGATAGATAGATAGATAGATAGATAGATAGATAGATAGATAGATAAACCAGACAGACCTACCCAGGTTGCACCTAAACGGATCATCAGGGGAAAGCCGGCTAAAGGCAAAGGAAACGCATATTTATAGGCGATAGCCAAAATTATACCACGTGACCAAAGAAAGAAAAAACAAAAACACCCTTTAAAGATTTATTCAACTAAAAGGGGAGGGGATATTAAAATACGAACATTAAGGTGGAATGACAAATAAACGGGGAAAGTCGTCTTAATTTAGTAATCAAGATTTATGCCTACATATGTTAAGAATTTCAGTTTTCGAGTTTGATAGCTGGTTATCTTGATTATATAAAGCTATGGATAATTTCTCCTCTGTACATAATTAACAAAATTTTTGGCCTGCTTTATATTTGGGGCATTTTTTTAATATTTCCTATTTAAGGGTGGGGTCTATATTGTCTTCTTGTCTGGTTTTCCATACATACGTGGATAACGTGGTACTATGTTTAGTTTTTTCGTTTTTAAAACTACTCGTGGGGTTATAGTATATTTTTTTAAATTTATCCTGAGTAGCACCTATGTATATTTTAGGGTTAGTATCCTCCATATCATTGTAAATTTTCACCTGGTAAACCACGCATTCTTGCTGACATTTTCCTGTAATGGGCAGATATTTTTGTTTCTACAATTATAAGTAGGAGGGCT